CACCTCGTGGCTGAATTCTGTTTCCATTGAGTCTTTGTTTTAGAGGATTGAATTTACAGTTGATGGTAAACAGTTCAAGTTTAGAAATACCAATTTACTGTCATCAGTGACTATAGACATAATTTATAATTTGGCTTGATTAGCATTTTCTTTCCTAAATTCTTTTAACTGGATAGTAATCACATATGAGTAAGACTTTTATTCTTTCCATATTTTTTCCACATTGTTCTTCCTAAAAACTTTCTGGCTGTCTCCTGGAACTTACAAGTCAGAATGGGTGGAAAGAGCAGCTCAGCAGTCCCGCAGGTGGAAGACACACATTTTTTTCTTGACTCTCCTGGTGATGCCACCTCACTTGGCTCTTTCTGAGCCACATCCATATTTACTTTCCCTTTTTTTGTCAAAATGTTTCAACTTAAATGAAAATGTACGTAAACAGGTTTTCTAAGTAAAATCCAAGCTATACAACCAGTGAAAAGATTTATGTTTTGTAACAGGGAACGGTGGTTTGCTGAACTGTGTATTGCTTTTAATTTGCCAAAGGCATCCCAGATTTCCAGACTATGACATAAATAAGGTAACTTCCCCTCCCACTCAGTGTGGGGCTCTTCAAGAAGCAGCACAAGCAGCTCCCCTTCTTCTCTTGTTTAAGATCCCAGTAGGGCCCTGTAGTCCTCTGGACTCAGGATGGCAGCACCTTGTTGGGCTCTGTGTGCTGTGTCCCTTCCTCTATGTGAGACTCATTGCTAGGTTTGAGCACAGGGCATACTTATCTCTCGAACTGGGGAATGAGTTCTAGAAAGGGCCCTGCATAAAGTGCCAGAATCTTACTTAGTCTTGGAAGCACCCAGTTCCTCTCATACAATAGACTCTAGGCTCAGGCACTGATGCAGCTCTGTTGAAGCCAGAGAAAAGGCTGGAATCCACATTATCTCCCTGTCTTAGCAATCTTCACAACACAGGGTTGATCGCTTTCATATGTAAAAACAATGGTCTATTATGAAATCGCCAAAGAAACATAAAGCAAGACCTTTCAAATAAAACACTCATGATGTTTTAATTTACTGATATGGAACCAATATCTTAAAAAAGGACCTAGGAGGAATAAGCCATGCTTGTTAAGGAAAGAAGCAACCAAAGGTAGCAGTTGTTACTGGAGCGGAGCTTTGGTGATATGCTGGGGACAGAAGTCGGTGCAAGTGAAGGATGCTTCTTCTCTGAGATCTGTGGACACGAAGCTGGCTGAAGCAGAAGGTGTGGGCCGATAGGATCAGCAGGGCAGTGTGGACCTCATCACATCTGCAGCAGGCAGCTGCAGAGTACAGTCTGAGCGCTTCACTTCAAATGGACACCAAGCTCCTTCATCCCACAGGACGCTGTCAGGGGACATCATCTGCCCCTTCTGTAGGTGGATGGCAAAAGCCACATGTGGCCCAGCAGCCGCAGCCTAGGAGCTGATGCTTTCCTGCGCTGTGAGCTGCTTGCTGCGGAGGAGAGAGGAATTTATAAAAACATCCACCCTGTACACTGACAGTGCACTGGCATGGCATCGTGATAGGATCAAGTTGTATTGAAAATGAGGATTAAAGACGAGCACTTTGAAGGAGAAAAAAATTTCAGTTCTTATTAAAAGAACATTTCACCGTCATCCTCCTTTTCCAAAGTAAAACAGCTTTGAATGTTTTTCTATGCATGATTTCTCGATGAAACTGGGTATAAGTATATGACTATATCTTAGCTCAAAATTTAAGCACAAATCTTCATTACTTAAGCTGGATTTCCTATCAACTTTGCCTAGAAGAATAACACAAAACTATAGTTACAATGTCTTCTTTGCACCATCATATTGGAAATGCTTCCAAACTCAGAGTAACCTGGACTTGGATCAATAGAATGCTGAAATTTATTAAATTAATTCTGGAGCTTTTGCATGAGGCACACTTTAACAGAACAAGTTTTGGGGGAAAATCCAATGCTACAGGGATAATAGCTAAATATTTGATAAAAGGACACATTGAAGTAGAATCTCCAAACTAAAGCCACGCTATTCACTGGATAACCTTTGGATATGCCAGAATTGGCCAGGTCTCTGTAGTCACATGAGCATTTCTAACAAGCATAATGGTGGTACCCGTCAGTCAGTTTAATGGACAGCTTGGTTTTCTAAAAATATTCTAAGAAATGTGTCTAGTGTATGTGGAAAGATGATATGGCTAAGAAATACCCAGGGAGCTTAAGTGTATGTGTTGCTTTTAGATAAGTTGGCAGAACATACAGCTACATTAGCAAACTCTGAAATCTTAAAGGAAATATTTTTTCATTAAGTTTATTGGTAGTTTTTAGGTATACAGTATATTCACATTCATCATTAGGGCCTTGTACCTTTACATGACTTATCTTGGTTCTTATTCTTCCTCCATTCCCCGGCCCTCCCTTTACCCCCTACACCCTTCCCTGCTTACAAAGACTTTGTTTCCATTTTTTTCCTTCTTTCATATTTTTTTCTTTTCCCTTCTTTCCTTTCCCCTACTCCTCCCACTCCCCCTACTACTTTAGCCCTTTTCTTCCTATTTCATCTTATCAATTATATGTTGCAGTCTTATTTATTCTTCAGTTTCTCACACCAAAGAAACTATTCAGTATTTACACATGTGTGTCCTATTTATTTCACTTAAGAGTATGGGCCTCAATGTGCATCCACTTGGCTATAAATGTCTCCAGTTACTCAATATTTATGGCTAAGTAGCACTCCATTTTACCCCCGCAAAAAAATCTTTATCCAGTCTCCAGTTGATGGGCAATTGGGCTCTTTTCAAGTTTCAGCTATTATAAACTGTCAAATGAAATATTAACCTTGTCAGATTATGAATGTGTTGAATTTTTTTATGTGCCAAAATATCAGATTTGCCTTCTTTGGTGACCTTCCAAAAAAAGCAGAAGGGATTCTGTGGGACTGAGAAGCCCATAACATTGGGCTTTACAGCATTTGTAAAGAGGGGAAAGACAAATCTAAATGAGTGTCCTGCTTTTGCCAGTTTGAGTTCAGGCATCTTCTGGAGGCGCATTTGGCTATCCAGTTCTCTCACCATGGGGGTGCAAGTGGACCCCAGTGCAGGACCCCACACTGGAGCTGTAACCAGAGGTGTTGCAATTGCAGGTGGTGCCTGAATTGCATGACTAGGAGACCCTTTCATGTGGCTGCTTGGCTGTTCCCAAAATCTCTTGCAGTCTAAATGCACAAAAATTCTTTAACACAACAAAAGAGAAAAAATATTATTTTACATAACATATGAATTTTGTTTTCTACGCGTTTCATACCACCCATAAAAAGTTAATGATTTCGCTACATTAGAGTTTAAAAGAGATTGTAATTTGCATTTCATTGTTAAATGAGGCTGGGGATCAGAGGGGATTACTATATTTGATTCTTCTTTTTTTGGTCTTGAAATCTGTGCCTTTAAGGAAGGACTGGTTCTTTGAGGGTTTGCATAATCTTATTACAGAATGCAGGAGGAGGGGAGGATGCCTGGAGACGTGTCAGTTAGATTCCTGCCAGCTGGGCTCAATGCAAGGGTCTGGGTACAGTCACATAGTTAGGAAATGGTTCCAGAGTGAAGGGGTGGGAGGGAATGGAGGTCATTTACTGGGAGGAGTCCCTGGGGCGATGTCCTTCCTGCAGGGCCCTCCTCTAATGCACAGAGATAGAGCAGAAGCTTACTGACAAGACACAGGAAATAACAGATTTGGGTCAGTCTTCTCCCAAGAAAGGAGAGTGCTGGGCTTGGAAGCTAGTAATGGTGAGCTTTTCCTTCAGATCAGAGCATTGCAGTAGTGAAAAGAGACAAATGTGAAGGGAAGGATCCCTGCTCACCATTTTCAGATGTGGGCTTTACTGGAGGTTCACCTTGTGGCCCAGCTCTGGGATCCCCACGAGGACCCCAATGGAATCCCATCCTGGATCCTACGGGAGACCAACAGCGCCAGCTGGGAGGCACAGCCGGAAACCAACATAAACACTGGGAAAGTCTAGCGATTCCTATGCAGTTGATTAGCATTTAAAACTATTCTATGATGACAGTAAACTCTGAACAGTCATCCTTCAGTGATGCTTTCTGTAGAGGGGAGAAATGCATCTTTTAGAAGAATGGAACTATGGAAACATGCTGCTCTAACTAAAATAAGTATATATTTATGTAAGTGCATAATGTACACTAGTAATAATTGCTTGCTGGATCTATTGGACCAAAAGTACACAAAAAATCCTGTATTATGTCTTTGTGTCCCACTTGGTAGTTTCTTACAGAAGACATTTAGCAGAAGTTAAAATTTGTTTTTTTTTGTGTTGTTGTTATTGTTGTTGGTGGTGTTGTTTTGGTACCGGGGATCGAACTGAGGACCTTGCACTTGCCAGGCAGGCAGTGGCACCACTAAGCTAACTCCCCAACCCAGAAGCTAAAATTTCTAACTCCATTCTTTTATAACAGCTTAGAATCACTGAAGGACACTAGGTGTTTGTCAGGGAGGAAATGAAATATTTGAAAAATTTTGAATACCTTTTTTTTAAAGTGTGCAATATTGGTTGCCTTCCTAAAGTGCAATAAAGCTTGTACTTTATCTCTCAAATGAACAAGCAGATGAAAACCAATTCTTTTATCTTAGGCTGACCACTGGTTTCTGGGATTTTAATATTATTCCTGCTTCACTACTTTAACTCAAAATAGATAAATAATAGCCTTTGGGAAATAACTTGGCCTGCCTTTATTCTCCATGCTGAAGAACTCATACTTAGAACTTAATAAATAATACATAATATAATAACAAAGTTTGACCTTAGAAAACTTGATGTATTTCTTTCAATATGCTTTTCTGGAATCTGTATTTTTAACTCATAGGAAAGAGCCCCCACACTGGCCCTATTCCAAATCAGTGATAATTTTAAATTCTGTTTGGCCCTTTGCACAGTTGTTCAAAACACCCTGATCGCTTCTCCTCCATTTTAGGAGAGGCTTCTGCTGTCCCTGCTGCCAGCCCACATAGCCATGGAAATGAAGGCTGAGATCATCCAGAGGCTCCAGGGCCCCAAAGCTGGCCAGATGGAAAACACAAACAACTTTCACAACCTGTACGTCAAACGGCACACCAACGTGAGGTATGCTGGGGGAAATCATGTGCCTCGCTGGGGTGCTGGTCACTTGTGTCATCTCTCCTGTGCGGCTATTCACCCTCTGCAGGTGGATCAGGCCCTGCTCCATCCCCCTTCTGCTGCCTCTGGGCTTGCACATTCAGATGAGAACAAGTGGTCCTCCTGCTTTATTGAGTTGAGCTGCCCTCGGTATCCTTGCTTCCCATGGCTGATCACCAGTCACAGCCGGGAGAGGGCTGGAGGAGTTCTTCTGCTGGAACCCTGTGTTCAGATTGCGGTATGGTCAGAAAGAGGCCTATGGGTAACCAGGCACAAGGACTCATTTCTCAAGATGGCCTTTTAGGAAGGGCCTTCATGAAGCCAGTGCATTCCAGGGAAACTGGGTGTTCTGCTTTCCTCCAGGAGCTGTGGGTTTGGGGAAACAGCCAACCAGTGACAAAGACTATAGGGACTGATATGTACCTGAATTAGTTGTCATGAAAGTTACTGCTTTGCCAAGTGGGCTCGATCATACAACCTACTTCCTAGTCATTTCTGGAAGCATAGTACCTTCCAGAAAAAGCTAACATGCCAGCATGAGGGGATTGTGGGCATGAATGAGGTAAGGCCTTTATCTCTCCAAGCTCCAGAGAGGAATCTTGTGGGGCCCTTGTTGAGAATGGCTCCACCCTTATCCACATCTCCCAACCACAGTAGAGCCAGATCCATCAAAGATTTCTGTACCCGTTCATTCTGATCTTCTTTGAGGAAAGATTTGTTCTACCCATGATTATGCTGCTGTGATGCTTTTTGTTCTAACTTGCTGATCACCTTAAAGGACCTGAACACTTATCTGGACCTCTTTGTTATATTTTGGTGCTGTTTGTTTAGTTGTCGGGATATCAGTTTGACCAATAGTTCAACAACAACCATCACAACTACATTTTGTAGAGCATTGGCTAGAACTGGGACCCAGCCTGTTGCCCTCCACCCCCCAATCCAGGCTGTCCTCTTTCAGCCTGATGCCTCTTAGACCAATAAGATTTGGAAGGCCGTTGAGGAAAAGCAAATGGAACTGAAATGTGCATGTATTACTGGGGTGAACTACATTTGACATTAGATCCGAGAAAAAGCATGTGGAGCCGGTGGTGTACATACCCAAGCGCACACGAATATAAATGCCCAGTGGGAAATTCAACTAGGGAAGGAGATCATAGAAAAACCATGGCATATTGAATGGGAACTAAAGATGTGCCATTGGTTAAGTGATGGGAAGCCACTATGTTTGGAGAAAGTTTACACTCAGTAAGATGTAAAATTATTTACAACTCTAGCCATCCTTCAAGTCTGTAAGTATTGTGCCTGTAAATTAAAGGAAAATCCATGGAATCTGACAAAGCATGTGATACACTAATGGCCCTTCCCAGCCTTATGAAATGTGGCGATGGCCTTCCTGTCACAGACAGTACTTTTAAGTTAATTTTTAAGATACTGACAACTTGTACAGGCAAATGCAGTTGTATCTGAACAGGCCCACAAAATATCTTTAAGTGGTTGTGTTACCATCTAGGCACAAATACACCTATCAAAGTGACTGGAAAAATCTCAAGTTCAGGCAGATAACAAAGGCTCCTTGTGCTCTCTGTGTTATTTATTTCTGTAGAGCAAATGATCCCTAAACACAGTTACCTCAGACAACACCAGCATTACCTCATAGTGTCTGGGGAATCAGGAATTTGGGCAGAGCTTGTGCGGGCGGGGCTTGTGCAGGTGGCTTGGGCTTAGTGTCTGCCATGAGACCACAGCCAGATGTTAACCAGGGCTGCTGGAGGATTAGCTTCCTGAGTGGTTGACCAGTTGGCTCTGGCTGTTGGCAGCAGCCTCAGTTTTTCTGGTAGTTTCTGTAAGCTTCTGGAGTAACCTCCTAACATGAGTTCACATCCCCCGAGGCAGGGAGTCCAAGGCAGGCCTTTTATGACCCAGCCCAGAGGGTCATTTTGGTCATATCCTATTGGTTACAAAGGTCAGCCCATCCAGGGTGGGAGGAGACAACGTGAGTAGTGGAGAAGAGTATCCTGGAGCCATCTTGAAAACTGACTGCCACACTATCATGGCAAAGGATGGGTGAACGCAGCCAACTTGCTGCTTTTCCTTCACAGATTGTGTAGAATAAATTTGCAATGTCAAATTATATCTAAATCCTTAAAATATATTTGGGACCCAAATTACCCTAAATACTTAAAAACTTCCTTAAGTGAGGTGGGGGTGTCAAATATATTTTAAAGAAATTTGAAAACTTGTGGTTCTAGATGAAGACAGGTACAGGCAAAAAAGCAGACTTAATATATATCATACAGTTAGTCCAGGGGATTCCTGAGTGGTTTTTGTTTTGTTTTGTTTTTAAATGAAAATTATATTGTATCTAAGCAGTACCAAAAAATCAATTTCTGCTTCTTGGTTCTGCCTTGATATTCTCTGTTAATAGCATTTGCTGGCTCTTTGCTATCAAAAGAAAATAATAATAGTAACAACACTAGTCATTGTATAAACAGCAACTGCCAGTTGTCTCTTGAATCTCCATAGCCTTTGTCTCAGCTTGTCCCACTAGTTCCGTAACAGTCACAAACCTATGGTAGCTTTTAAAACATACAAATACAAATAAATAAAATAAAACCAAGCATATTTCCCTTAATCTTCTGTACCACCCAACTCTGAATCTGCCTTTTTCATGGACTCTTTCTAGAAAGATTTTTCTACACTTTTCAATTCACCTCCCTTACTTTTACTTCCTCTTCACATTCTCACCCTCCGGTGTTTACTTCTACCAAGCCACAGAACTGATTCTTGCCAAATTCACCACCGACCTGTCTAATCCCCAAACCTGTGTAGGACGCCTGCACCCTTATTGCGCTGACCACTCAGACGTCCTGAGCCACACTGACCTTGCCCTCCCCTTGCAGAGCAGGCCCACCCCTTGGCCTCTGTGACTCTGCATTCCCTGTGTGTTCTTCCTTTGTGTCCATGGTGTTTTCTCCTGGCGGACTCCAGCCTCTCCTGTATCTGAGTGCTGTCGGTACGGTCTCGTGCTCCTCTCTCTTTCTTCATCTTTCTCCCGAACTTGAATTCCCATCTACTTGATGCTAAGCTTCAGAATTCAACAGAACTTCCCATGCTGATCCACTTAGTAGGCCTCTAAGATAACACCTCCAACTAACACAGCCACATTTGAACTAGCCACTGTCCCCTGTGAGCTTGCTTTGATCTGTGCAAACGTAGCTTCCTGCAGCCAGTTTCTTAACTGGCGACTGGTCTTCATCCTCAGCGCTTCCTTTCCTAGCTGTGCCCCCACCACCACCTAATCAGTAACAACGTTGGACCCCTCTACTGGTCCCCATTGCCCTGTCCATGACAGACATCCAGCGGGCTCTCCTGGATCCCTGCAGAGTGGTGCTAGGTTCTGTGCTGGCAGCCAGAGGAGTGGTTCTAATGGTGCTGATCGGATCCATCTCTTACCCCCACCTTGTCATCGGCACCTGGCCCACACCCCTCGCTCCCTCACTCCGGCATTTTCCTTCAGAAATGGTCTGTAGTGAGGACACTCACTGGTGGTCTTGTTTGCTCGATGCGCTCCTCTGACTGAATTCTGAGCTTTAGGAAGAAACTCAGTGTCCGCTTCATCCTGGCCCATAGTAAACACTCCAGACCCCTTTCAGTATCTGTGGAGAAGGGGCCAAGAGATGTGGGAGGGCGGCAGAGGGGACAGAAAGAGCATGAAGAGGGTATGTCCATGTGGCCCACTCCCCCGAAGGACTGTGGTAGCTGTGTACGGCACACGTGCACTCACAGAGATCAAAACGGCAAAGAGACCAAAAAGCAAATACCCCTTATGAAAAAGATAATTCCAGGATTTTTTTCAGTCAGTACAAACCAGATTGTATTTTACTATTTACTGCTTCTGCAGTGGGATATAGATCACGTGGCAGAGTGGGCAGAGGCACACTGGATGCCAGCAGGGTCATTGTGGCCGTCAGGATGTGTGCCACATGTAGAGAAGGGAGAAGGCAGGTGGTTGGATAGAATGGCCTGGAGCCAGCATGTTGCAGGCGGGGCTTTTCTGTTCCCAATAACTCTTCATCTGGTGGCCCATAATTGTAATCTCAGCATCTGGGAGGCTGAGGCAGGAGGATCCCAAGTTCCAACACAGCCTAAGCAATGTAAATTACAAAAGAAAATGGCCTGAAATGTAGCTTAGTATGACATGAGGACGTTGGGATGGATCCCAGTACCATTAAAAAATGTAGGAAAATAACTAACACTAAAAAAGTTTAATGAGGGTCACAGATTTAGCTCAGTGGCACTGCCACCTGCTTCACAAGCTCAAGGTCCTGAGTTCAAACCCTGGTACCACCACCTCAAAAAAAAAGTTTAATGAGAAATTTAACAAGAAGCGTATATATTCCCTCTCCAGGAAAATGACATTTTTCTCATGCAAATACAAAGTGAAAAGAAACAAATAGAAATCTCTCAAGGCACAAAGGTACACTGACTCCCTTAAGCTTCCGACTCCTGTTCCCACAGTATCTTATATGCTGACATCGTGGGGTTCACTCGACTGGCGAGCGACTGCTCTCCGGGGGAACTGGTCCACATGCTCAATGAGCTCTTCGGGAAGTTTGATCAGATCGCAAAGGTGAGTACCAGGCTTCCCTCCGCCCCAGGCCCTCTCACCCTAACCCAGCCTTGTCGCCTCCGCATCATCCATAGCTCGCTGTTTTTCAACACCCTTCCGGAATGCTGCATGTGAAATTCCTTGGTTTGTCATTGATGAATCTCAAGTCTATACCTGGGATGCAAAATGCCACAGCACATAATTACTGCATTTTCATCTACTTTTAGAACCTGCTTCTGTATAATTCTGCACACATATAATAAATACACTCAAGATGAGAAGATTTCATTTGCAGTTCTCTCTGCACGGTGCTATTTTGAGGCCTCTTAGTGGCATTCCATGTCGAGGCGTTGGGAAAATCATTTCTGCTCGTCTGCCATAGCCATCCTGAGCTCCTATTGTGAAGTAGGACTCTCAGAGGACCCCTGAAATAGCACACCTACCTTCTGTGCAAGCCTTTTGCTTCTTACTGTCACCTTTTCATCCTTTGGCTTTTGTGCCCCTTGAACAGAAATGTACGTTCACGATATGCCCTGCCTATGCTCATGTGAGAAATTTCACACACAGCACAGGCGACAGGTTCTCTACAAGCATCTTAGAGCGGCTGGTGAAAAGAGTGGAGTCTCCCAAGCCAACCCTTTGCTTAAGGGAGACATTTCCCATCAACCTAATTCTGTCTTTGAATTGTTCTCAACAAAAACTACTTCATTATGTCTATTGATTGGTTATTTGTATGTGAGGGGCTTGGTCCTAAATTTAGCTCACCATGTGTTTAGCCCGCGGTTAAACAATACAGAGCCCCCCGCCGAGTGTCTGGGAGGAGGCCTGGCCTGCAGATGTTGGCTGATCAATCTGTAGTCCCCCCGCACACATCAGCTGGTTTGCAGTGCTCACTGCAGACAGCGTGTAGCTCTGACTCCTTCCACTCCCAACAGAAGGGATGCAGGTGAATTTAGGTGAAGATTTAAGGAAAAGGAAAGGTCAAGCCCTTATGTGATGTATGGAAATTTTTCATTAGCAAAAGGTTACTTTTTAAACTACCTGGTCCTCTTAGGAAGGAACGTTCCAGCATGCTCGGTGTCAGTGCCTAGCTAGTGCTCACATGGCAACAGCGTCTCAGTTTCTACACTGCCCCCTTATTTAGGGACAGATGTCATATTGTGTCGGGGCCCACACTGTACCAGTATGACCGCATCTTGATTACACGTGCAACTATCCCATTGCTGATGAGCTCATAGATCCAGGAATCGGGACTGAGAGCAACAGGTGCATTCGGGAGGACACAGTTCATCACTTACAGTGGAGACACTCACTGGCACTTCCTTTGATCCTGGAGTGAAGGAATGAATATCTGCCTGACTCATCCAGGGCTTGTCAGAAGTGTAGCACACCATGGAGCCAGCTCGTGGTGACTCTGGACAGCAGAAGAAGCAAACAGCCCATTCACTGAGTGACAGCGACATGAAGCACACCCTTTAGTCCGTGGAACTCCAGATCCCTGCCATGCACTGCTATTTTTCTAGAAGCAGGATGTCCCTTGAGGAAGTGTGGGAGGGGAACCTGACGAATAAAGCAATTTACCTGCTTCTTATTTATGATATTATTATCAGAATGACTAAACACAACGTAACTAGTGTTATAAATAATCATGAAAGTACATCTTAGTGTGTGAGCTATTGGACAGGAAAAGAAATGTGCCAAATCAACAAATGGGATGCATGCCTAAGAGAAAGAAGTCCTGTTAATATTATTATTTGAGGGCTGGGGATTTAGCTCAGTGGTTCCACTGCCTGCTTCGCAAGCACAAGGACCCAAGTTCGATCCCTAGTACCAAATATATATATATTATTATTCTTTAAAATCTGTTGGTGTCAGAGGGAAGAAAAATCCGTGTTTGATAAATGTTTGCTGCTATTTACTTTACTGAAGTTTATGAGCTGGCTGAAAAGGTGAGGAATGGAGGTAGGATTAATGTGTTTAAATGCAGTTAATCTAAACATTACAAACACGGTCCACCCAAGAAAAATAAGTTAGTATAATTTTGTGTGAGTTCATTTTAACCTAAGGTCAGAATTATTACTTGGTGGTGCTTCATGCTGGCTTATCAGATTGTTGAGATGTTTGTCAGTCTCTGCATATCAGATTCTGCAGGTGAGAATGTGCTTGGGTTGAAATTACATAAAGATAACAGTCACAGAGTAGAGAATAGCACAAAACTCTAATTCAGACTCAGTCTGGCCTCCAGTTTCTGCCCTGAAAGATTCCTCTCTGCATGCCATGCTCCTTGTTGCCGTCGGCGTTGGGAGATAGGGAAAGTGATGCGGCTCCTATCCTCCTCTGCATCTACGGAGTGGGAATAATTCCAGAGCGTTCTCCCCGCTTTCCCGTTTCCTTCCCTTTCCCTTCTGCTCACCGGATAACCGAAGGAAAGCTGTTCCCTCCCTCTTGCCTCATGTTCACTCCCCAAAGACCAGCCTCAGTAGAGCTGGCACTCGGTGGTCCTGGGTTACCAGCAGGCTGATGCAGGTGGAATTCTGTGATTTCTTCTTCCAGGAAAATGAATGCATGAGAATTAAAATTTTAGGAGACTGCTATTACTGTGTTTCCGGACTCCCTATCTCTCTTCCTAACCATGCCAAGAACTGTGTGAAAATGGGATTGGATATGTGTGAAGCCATAAAGTAAGTTTACTACTTACTAATTTTTTTAATGTGAACAATATTGAATTGTAATTCTCACCTGCAAGCATTTCTATTTTTTCTGTGTCCCAGCATTAAATGAACCATTGCACATTTAAATATAAATATGCAGAGACCTGTTTATTGGTTTTATGAGGACTCAGTCCTAGGGCTTCTGTAAGTGGTTGCTATCATGATTATTACCCTTTGATTACAACAAATCTGAGTTAGAAATTTACAGGAAGGGACTGTTTTGCTGTGATTTTAAAAAATTGAGGGGCCATGGATTTAGCTCAGTGGTTCTGTCGCCTGCCTTGCAAGTGCAAGGTCCTGAGTTCAATCCCCGGTACCCCCCCAAAAAAAAATTGATTCAGTGTCTTCTTTGATGTTATGGAGAAAGTCTCTACCCTCAGTGTGTCTCTAATTCTGAAAAATATGACCACACACATTATAAAGAGGAAAAGTAGTTTATACTACCAGACTATAATTAATTTACACATCTAACTCATAGCTGCTTCGTCTAGTCAACAATGTGCTCAGCTTTATGAGTACTTTCATTTATACCTGTACATGTCTTCTGCATTATGTTTTTTAAATTGTGATTCCAGAGAAGATTTGCTTGTTTAAAATATTGTTCTCAGTACTGTTGACAGGTAAGTGATAACCATGAAAGGTAAAAGGTTGATTTTTGCTCTAAGGACTACCATGAGTTCTTCTTTCAAAGTGCCTTGTGTAGAACCTAGAGTGTTCTTATAAAGGTGAATCCTTTTGTTTGCTGATTGAAGAATTCTAGTTTATTACATTTTTAAAATTGTCTTGATCAAGTGGTTTCTTTTCTCATCCACCACATAGTTTTTATCTAAAAAGGATAGGGATCCTGTGTTTCATATTCTAGTTCAATGCATCAAGGTTTGAGCAAGTAGGGTTATATGGGGGAAAAAAAGTCAGGTCGACCCTGTGTTTCCCACCATGTGTGTTGGTTGCATGCCCTGGAGTAGTCCAAGGTCTGTAGGGGGCTCTCAGAGCTGCTCAGGGAGCGGGAATGGAGACTCCACCCTCCAAGAAGCCAAGACACCCATGAGGAGGTGAGAAACCTGCATTGTGGCATCCAGGTCCGCTGGCTCAGCGGTGATCACTGCAGGTACTGCCGAAAGGTTGGCAAAGGAAGGGAATGATGAGAAGAGGAGCGGAGAAGGGAAGAGGGGTCACTGCGCACTCAGTTTCCTGTGTAAATTACTTGGTATGGGAAAGAGCTGTGTGGTACTTGCTTCATCCCATAAATAAGTCATGCATTTTCTCTGATGCATGATTTTTTTTAACTTTTATCAAAAGCAAGGAACTACCATAACTCTGCCAGTTTAGACATGAGTGACTCCAATTAAGGAAGATAATACCTTTTCTCAAGTGTATGACCTACCCCTGGAGGCAGTTACCACATCCCTTTCCTATTAGAGGAAAGCATTTTCCTTGATTTTCTTTTTAAATAGATGTAGGAAATATTTTTGTGAAAGGCAAAAATACATATATTGGTAATATGTTCAACTCCCTCCCTAGTCCCCGCCCAGGTATGTCCCAAAAGAGTGCATGGCATCATACTGTAGCGACCCATGCATACCTGTGTTTAATGCATTGCTGCTCTTAGTAGCTAAATCTTGAAAACAATGCATAGCTACAGAAAGCTGCATGAAAAGTGTGGTACAATGTTGTATTTACACACAATGGAATGTATTTACACACTCTGCCACCAAGCAGGATAAGTTTGAGTCATTTGCACCTTGAAACCATAACAATAAGTGAAATACATCAAACACACAAGGTTAACTGTCACATGATTTCTCTTGTATGAAAGAAAAAAAGTGTAAATAATTTAAATATAAGCTAGATATTAGGAAAGAGGGAGACAGAACTTTTGCAAATGGAATTAGAGATCTGGAGAGGGAGAGAAGGAAAAGGAAGGAGGGAAGGGCAGAAGGAGTTTAAAAAATGAAGATGTGTTATGGACATGTACCGGCTCTCTGTGGAGAATGTACTCTTTATGTACTACAAACATGTACTGATAAAAACTTAAAGAATTAAAAAATAAAATAAAAGTTAATAATAATAGCAATAATATACTGGATTAAACCATCTACTTTTTTTGAAAGTTGATTCCACTTTTGAATCAACTGTTTTCTGATCCCACTCCATTTGTTATTACAAATGCTGAGGGGTTTTAGGAGAAAGAATCCTTGCATTATACTTCCTGTCACGTCTCCAGGTCATCTGAAATGTGAATTCATTCCACAGTTTTACCGTAGTAAACTGTACACAGCACATGTTAAGTGCATTCAGGATGCTGTGCACCCTGCCACCGCTGCTGTCTTCTCGCCAACCCTCTCTTTACCCCGATCAGAAACTCTGTACCCATAAAGCTGCAACTCACCATTCCCTCTCCCCAGCCCCTGGTCATCTCTGCTTCACTTTCTGTTTCAATGAATTTGCCTATTTTAGATGTTTTGTGAGAAGAGTCTCAAAGTAGTTATGCTTTCGTTTTTTGCCTCCAATGCATGAATTAGCAGAGTGTTCTCAGGACAGGCCTCATTCCTTCTCACAGCAGGATAATACTCCACCCTGTTAATGCTTTTTTTCATTTTCCCATTCATCTTTGGTGCATCAGCAATATCCTAATCTCAGTAATTTTAGTAGACATGAAAAAACTCCCCTAACCCTTGCTTATCCCTAAATTCAGCCTTCAGATCACACAATGGTGATATGAACCAGTATCCCACCACTGCAGATGGAGGGATGCCACGCCCTTCCTCTGTTGTATGTCACCTGCTTGTCTTAGGAATTGTCGATAAGATAATAAAAAATAGGCCATGTTGTTAACAGCCTCGGGAATGTCATGACAGGGTGAGCATCTCAACAAATTCTTGGAATTGTTTGTTCTCATTCTTTCTCACAGAAGAAGTGAACATTTGTGCTCCCAGTCTTGACCCATAAGATGGGAATGAATTGTCTGCTCACCATTTTATTAAATAATGTGAAATAGGAAGATAAGGCCCAAAGGGGAAGGGGAAGTGGGAGGGGGAGGGGAAGGGAAAGGAATAAATATGAGAAAGAAAAAAATGGAAACAAACTCTTTGTAAATAAGGAGGGGTGGAGGGGTGGAAGGGAGGGCAGGGAAATGGAGAAAAAATAAGAACCAAGATATATCATGTAAAGGTACAAGATCCCAATGATGAATGTCATCATATTGTAGACCTAAAATGTACCAATACACTAGAATCTTCAGAATACATATAAATGAATTAGCTTATACACAGGTAGAAGTATGCGAGCCAACAACAATCAGAGTAGACTATTCCACAAACTGTCTTTCTTCTACATCAGCTGCCTGTCTATCCTATCTGTTTGTAATGCGAATAGTGTTCCTTTGGCTGGAACCAACGTCATGCATCCCTTGCTGCTAAAGGGTATCCAAGAGCCAGATTCACCACTCGAGACCTTGTGAGCAACAAGCCTCTTACCAGATACAGTCCTTACATAACTGAGCGAGTGAGCTGTGACACAAATGAGTCTCTTTATTAAAAAAAGAAAGAAAAGATGGGAATGACTACAGGAATTTTAATTTTTTTAAACTAGTGAAAGGACCCACATTTTAAGAAGCTGGGCCCGTTAATTTTATAACTTTTAGCATGGTCAAGTGATAGCATTTTATCATTACAGTATGATGTACAAAGCTGTGCTTCTTTGAGATGTCCCTGATGTGTCTTGTTATAATTCTCATAGCAGCCTCCTCCTTCCTCCTTTCCTTTCCTTTCCTTTCTCTCCCTCCTTCCCTCCCTCCCTCCCTCCCTCCTTCCTTCCTTCACTCCACATTTCCTCTAGAGTGTTTTTCTCCATGTAGCAAGGCTTCTTTCACAAGAATACTTTAAATGACGTGTATTTAGCTGGCAAAAATAAATAAGTATCACCAAGCAATTCCATTTCCTCTTCACTGAAGTTCTTCACATCTCTCTTCTTACAGTCAGCATAGGGTTCTACAGTATTTTTAAATAAAACTTTAGATTAATTTCCTCCTCATGATACATTATGTATTACTAAAGCTTTTTAAAAATATGTTCTTTTTATTAAAGAATTGCACAATTCAAAAGCTTTCACCTCATGATTTTCTTCTTTTAAATTCATACTCGGGCTCTCATCATTAAGCTCTTGCATGGGCTGAGTGCTCTCGCTAGCTGAATATATTCACCGGGGCTCACGCCCCAGGGGCCACTAGCATGACAAACGACCCCAAGATGGTCCTGATGTTACAAAGCAAAGTCATGTGAGTCTCCTATGGATGTACAGGGCAGGTGCAGCACGTGGTAAGTACGTGCTTGATACACGACAGCTGAATGAAATGCACAGCTAACTCACTCTGCCATCAGCTAGGTCTGTCCTTTGCTAGCTAGAGACTGGAGCTCGTCAAATCTGAGGGTTGTCTGGGAAGAAACAACTTTCTTCATGGTTTAGGGCAGTGATCTTCTGCCCCGGGAGGAATTCATAGCAGATTTTTCAACAGTACAGAAATTCTGAATAAAAATGCCAAGCAAGCTCACCAAATGTGAAAGGGAGAACAGGCTGCTGCTGAACTGTGACATCACTTCCTGTCTCTTTAGGAAAGTGAGGGATGCCACCGGGGTGGACATCAACATGCGCGTGGGAGTGCACTCTGGGAACGTGCTGTGTGGCGTGATCGGCCTGCAGAAGTGGCAGTATGACGTGTGGTCACACGATGTCACCTTGGCCAACCACATGGAGGCGGGAGGAGTCCCTGGGTAAGGCCAGACTTGGCATTTCTGTCTTCAGGCTGGCAGCACAGTTACTACTGAGTGGCTTTTCGGGTCCTGATGACTTCTCTGGCCTGTGTTGGCATCGTGCTGTCATGCCACACAAGTTTGATGGCTTCTTGTAATAATAAGACATGAGCTCTAGGGCTGGGGATGTGGCTCAGTGGCAGAACAGTTGCATGTCATGTGCAAGGCACTTCAGCACTGCACAAAAAGAAAAGCAAAATGCAAACTCTGAAGTCTCAAGTAAACTGACTTTATGAAAACACTGGTAGAGATGCAAAATAATAAACCCTTACTTATTTGCAAATTATGAATACAGACCTGCATTTGCAGTGTTTTATAAGGCAGTCCAGATGTGGCATTTCCCTAGTAGTGTCTGTTAAAAAGCAACTGTAACTTCCATCCTTGGAGAGGAGATTCTCAGACAAGAGAATCTCAGTGCAGATTCTGCACTGAGGAGATGCATGACAGTGAGCACTGAGAAAGAAAATCCTTACTTTTATGCAGCTCAGAGCTTCTCCTAAAACACCCTCAACCTGCATTTTGAATGATATTCTCACATGCAAAACTTTGATGCCACCAAGTGTGTTCTGGTATAATTCACTGCACCAACCATGTAGGCTTCTATGAATGCAGAAACTTCAAATATTACTAACTCATGACTTCCAAAGCAGTGATCAGTGAAATATAAACCTTCATTGTACCAGTGCCCCAGAACACCTGAGTTTCCTTCCTTTGAATGAGAAGTTACCACTAGAAATCACAAAGACAGCATCGTTCTTTACATCTGTCTTTCTCTGTCTTGACTGTGACTTTCCCATGGAACTTTAGGCGTGTCCACATCTCTTCTGTGACTTTGGAACATCTGAACGGAGCATATAAAGTGGAGGAGGGAGATGGTGACATCAGAGACCCATATTTAAAACAGCACCTGGTGAAAACCTACTTTGTCATCAACCCCAAGGTCAGTATCATTTTAAAGCATCTGCGATTAGTCTGTCATTTCTGTGATTAAAAGGAAGGAGGGACAAACTTTTATATAAGTGTGTTTTTAGTCCAAATCAGTTTAATCCTTGGCTAATCTTTGCCTCTAAAATGAATTTAAGAGCATTTGGGGGCTTAGTGAGGAAGAGGTTTTATAAGAATGTATTTGAATATTTATGAAAGAAACAGTTGAGAAGCATCAAATATACACATGGCGAGGCATCCATGCCACTGCTGATTTGGCCTGCAGAGTGTGTGTGTGTGTGTGTGTGTGTGTGTAGATGTTGCTTGTGAAAGGAGCTCAGTGGCACAGCCTTGACACCTGTGAGTTGGGAAGTTAAATGAAGAGAAAGATGGTGCTGCTGAGCTCAAAGGATGACAGTCTAGTGAGAGGAAATAGTTGGAATATATGAGAAAAAGGAAATAAAGAAACGTTGAAGCCTAGCAGATGCATCTCCCTGCATTGCTGTGGAAATGTGCTCATGTGCACATGTTTTCTTACATCCCACAAAACCCCTGTCTCCAGGAAAACAGCCACCCGGTCAGACAGTAAGAAGCCATCTCTTACTGCGTTCACACTGCAGGTTAGGCCAGACCAGGGCCAAGAGGTCTTAGTTTTGTCTCCGCTTCTCAAATTCCTGCCAAAAAGGTGGAGCACTGACACTCACCATTCACTCTTTACAGATTAAGACACTGAAGGGAGTCATGTAGGTCCCCACAAATCAGACAGCTGGTACAGGGTGCCGATCTCAACAAGAAAGACTTCTGAACTGGCAAGACCAGTATCACAGAATGTGCTTTTTCCATGATAGTGACCCCAAAACCAGAGCTCCAACTTTGGAGACAAACATCCAACCAGCTTGGTGATGGTTCTGGAGATACACATAGGACAGGGAGCAGGACCTGTGGGGTGATGGAAAGTGTGCAGAAAATGTGTTTTGTCTAGACGGGGCATACCCAAATAAGGGTGTGTGAGATCACTGCACAGATATGCCCCAGATCCAGCTATGACTTTAGAAAAGTTCGACCATCAAGAGAAAGCTAAAACATTAATGTATTTATTGAAGAATATACCTTATTAAACAATATCCATTGATAGGTCTATTATTTTTTCCTAAACTTCAGTCACAGCCAAGTTTTACTCTGTGGAAAAAAACACTCACCTCAGATGCCTTCTTCTCAGTCCCGCTAGGGAAGAAGGCAGAGGGTGTTGAGGGAAGGGGTGGCCTTAGCTGGAACTGGCTTGGGCCAGGGGGCTTGGAGCAGGAAGGACAAGGGGCAGAGCTGTGGGGCTCTGGGTGTCACGCTGCACTTCTCTCCAGGGAGAGCGACGGAGTCCCCAGCACCTGTTCAGGCCTCGCCACACCCTGGACGGGGCCAAGATGAGGGCGTCTGTCCGCATGACCCGGTACTTGGAGTCATGGGGAGCAGCAAAGCCTTTCGCACATCTGCATCACAGAGACAGCATGACCACCGAGAACGGCAAGATCAGCACCACGGTAAGCCCACCTCTCCTAAGCACTAGAAGCCTGGGCCCACACAGAGCTGCACAGCTCCCGTCAGAGGAGCTCTCTGGGCAGGGGTCCGCATTGTGCCACGATCTCCAGGTCTACCCTGCTCAGGGCTCTAGCCCCAAGTGACTCTGCATTTTAGCTTTGTAACCCAACACGGCACTGTACACACTTGATAGCAGAAGCATTCATGAACTATTGTTTCGACCGAGGAAGTTCCTTTGTGTGTTACGACATAGCAAGCCTCGAGTATCATAATAAAAAGACAAATAAAGGCAGAATGTCTTTGGAGTCTGAGTAACCTTGTGGAGACTGTGTTAAAAGCCCAGATGTTTGCGGCATGTAGGCAGCAACGCACGCTGCATTGTCGTGGAGTGACGGCCACTGTCGAGTGACACCATCCCGACTTCCCAAACAGAAAGCACAGCCAAAGTTCCTTACAAAGGGACTCATGCAGAAATACGGAGAGAGAGATATCAAAATGAGCCCACAGGAGGAAGGAAACATACAGATACTTAAGCACTTAGACTAATCCCAATAGTATTATTAGATCTTCAAACTACCTGCGAGTGTGATCCCACATAATGACATTCACTGTATTGAGGGTGTGACTGAGATTTTAAAAAAGGAAAATGCAACACTGCATGATTCTTATTGGCTGTTAGGGAGAATCATGCCAGGTTGTCACATGAAAGTGAAGTTTCCTGTCGCACTGTACAACACACCCCCAGTCTTAAATGACATTCCTAAGCTCAGGTAGGGCTCAGCACTCTTGATTGGGTTTCATTAACATTCATGATTTGGCCAACTTCCTTGATGTTCTTTTCAACTGAAAAACTGACCTGACAGAAGGTGTGACCCATCAGACAGTCAGCGAGATATACACCAGGACCAGCTCGAGTTTGCGTTCTAAAAGAGGGAGGCTGTGAGTAGAGAAAAACTCGGGGAATGAAGTTGTACCCGTGCCATTGAGGGCATGATGGAGATAGAATGGGATGGCCATGAGGATGCACAGGGTGGCTGCTCTGCATGGGATGACTGGAGAAGACTCAGGGAAAGGGGAACAAGACGGTTAGAGAGGAGGTGGCAGGGGAACAAGGTCCGTGACCTCAGAATGGAAGCAGAGGTGGCTGAGGAGCCCTCAGAGTCACCAACAGTGAGCAGAGGGAGGTCATCCAGGTGAGACGCACCAAGGGCAGGAGTTAATTTTTCATTCCAAGGGCAATGGGAAGCCATAGCAGATCTTAGACAAGGAAGGAACACAGCACATTCATGCTTTGGAATAAAGCAGCAAGAACACAGGAGTCCCAGTGGGACTGACCCCGTCTTATGCCAAGACTTCAGCAGTGGGAGATGTGAAGCAAAATCAGGGCCTAAAGCTGAGAGATGAGACCGGTAGGGGACTGGATCTGAGAGACGGTGAGGAGCAGGCTCCGAGGTGGGGAGACCGACGATGTCTCGAATGGAGAAGGCAGCTTATTTAAGATGAAAAGGTCAAGATTTTGTGAGGGGACATCTTTAAATGCCCTTTAGATATCTAAGTGCAACCAGGAAGGGTCGATGGTTGCATGTGCAAGTCCTGAACTCAGGGCTCAGACGAAGGGTCCCAGCTAGAGATGAGGCCTGGAGAGTCATTGCATTTTAGGTGATATTTGAAGCCCTAGACCTGGAAGAAAGCATGAAGAAGGAAGTAATTCAAGGAGGGACGCCTGGGGTGTGTTAGAAGAGGCATCCTGTGATGCCAGAATTCACTGAGTCCCCAGTGAAAATTAATGCTTGTGTTGTTCTTATAAAAATAATGACTTGGATATCTGTGCCTGAGTGCTGCTTTTGTTAATATTCATGGCTAATAACTGGGACTCTCATTAAGATTTTTGCTCAAGAGTTTTCAGTTTGTTGACCGATAGACTGTTTTTTAAGAAATATGAATCCTTTCTAAATATTTGCATGTGATTGTGCTGTTCCTTACAAATACCTTTGAGAAACAAATCTTACCTTTCTGAGTATCTTGTTACAGTCCTTATTTCTTGCCAGTCTATATGTGGTGTTGTGTGGCCTCAAGGTGACTGGGTTCCTCATTATCTGGCTGTGAAACCACAGAGATGACTGCAGTCTGCGTCAAATCTATCACAATGTGTTGGCAGAAATACCTCATTTCAGGCCAGGACTGTTCATTGCTTCCAACTACAGAAAATTGTTTATAAAACACAGCAGACCTTTTGTATGAACTCAGTTTTGTAAATAGCCTGGTTTCTCCCATCACAGGTTCAAAGCCAAGGCTCATGTTGTGTTAGCAGCAATAAAGAATATTTTAAGAAAGTCCTAAGTCTTTCCTTACCTTTACACTTAGCTATATCTCTCACTCATTTTTAGAAAAAGCCCATGGCGATTTTTTTGATACATTCCCACGTTGAACAATCATCACTGCCAAAAGTTATTTCTTTTATTTAATCCCCTATGCAGAATTCCATTAGCTCTATGTTGAAAATGGATCATTTTACTTTCTACTATAAAGCATGGAGTCCCATTATTTTTTTTAAATGATGTTACCTTTTCTTAGTCTAAGTATAATTCCTAATTTGAACTTGAGGTTCAAACCAACTAACAAAAGTGTCTTTAGAGCTATTTTATTCCAACTTTTATTTCAGTCTCCACTATAAATGTATAAAAATGGATTTTGTAAAAACTTTCTTACTGATATTTGGCAGTGAATATTCCCTATGTCTCTTCTTAGTTATCTGGTGATTTCTTCTTTCTGGCCAAATTTTCCTGATTTCACTTATTTAGCCTGTGGTAGATTTCTTAAGAACTCAGTTATGCCGTGAAGATTGATACAGATTTTACAGTTATGTTTGTTTTAAGGCATAGTCTAATGTTTGTTTGATACCAAGGCCTATTTTCACTTGATTGTAAGTTGCTTACAAGAACTCTAATAAAGATAGTCTGTGGGCCATTATCTAAATCAGATTTGTAAATATCAGGAGGCAAATATTTAAAAATCAGACCACAGTCCTTATGCTTCAACATCTAGAGTTGAGAGATTATCCCAACATTATAAATATAAAATGGGTTTTAAATCTGATTCACATTTATGGTTAAACTCTTTTGCTCGCATTGCTAATCATTTGTTTTCTGTCATTTTTCAAGCAAAAACAAGAAATATTTTATTTATCATTATTAATGCAACATTCTTCTTGAGATATGTTTTAGTAACTAATCAACTTTTTCATATAGGATGTACCAATGGGTCAGCATAATTTTCAGAATCGCACCTTAAGGTAAGGTATATTTTTTACTTTCTAATTTTTGAAGCTTATTGCATTTATTTGTTTCTGAAAGTAATTATCATCAATTATAGTCATTTCAAAGCCTTCTTCTAAAAGAGCAGCTACTTCCGAAAAGCCCCATTAAATTGCTTCTAGCTTCTAAAAATAAAATTATTAGTGTTTGCTATTATAATTAAGGGGAGAGAAAGGAAAACAGCACCTGGTAATCACTTTAGTATTTTGAGCTGTTTTCTTGAAATAACTCTTCTTAATATTAGTCTGTAGTAAAAACTGAATTACTGTAAAATGAATGTATTGCTTAAAATTAACTTTTGTGTTTCATACTAAAGATAAAGACAATACAGTTCCAGCCTTTTATAGTGAAACGAGGAGCTGCCCATCCTGCTTAACAAAGGAAAACGTTTCCACCACCTTTCACCTGTCACTCTTCGGGATAAATCCTTTGTACTCCATGCCCCTCCACCTTTGGTGCTGACTTTTATTTAATATTGGTTTGGAAGTCACCCAAACCAGCCGTAGGCAATTGGGATGATTAATATAAGCTATAAGCCCCAAAGGTAAAGCAGCCTTTCTTTCCTCACAAAGAGGTCATTTTTATTGGTGCTATCAATAGGTTTATAGAAATAAAGGAAAAAATAACAAGATCAACGTATTTTCTTGTAGAAAATGCATCACATCCAAGTAAAAGTTAAATGTACTTAGATCTTCACCTGCCAAGTGATGTCAGAAGTACATATTTTTAAATACTTCTTCTTTATGACTTCATTTATTATAGTGGGATCCATTCTGTTTTGTGCAAAATTTGAAATTTTAGCTTTGAAATGTAATACTTATGTTAGAACAATCTGACTCTTGGACCTTCAGAGCATTATTTTGTGGTGGTATATACCATATTTAAGGGCTCTTAAGCTAATTTTAAGAATACTGCGGACCCCAGAAGATACCTTGAGAAGGCACGCCTCAAAGGCCAGTGAGATGGTAGCACATGCATGAGCTGCTGTTCCTAGGAATTTGATGGGCCTCCTTTTGCTTCATCTCTTCCACTGCTGTCTGTCCCTCTCCATGCAATAGTGCTTCAAGTCTCCTTACTGAAATGCCTCAAGGGTCCCCAACATTTTGTGGGGCAGTATCTTCTGAGATGAGCACAGCCTAGAATATGATGGCAAAAAGCTCTTATTTTTATCTCCACTAAACAATAGAAAAATCACATTTCATCCCTGCAACACCACTGTGCAGAAGAGGTTGTTGCATGGTCCTTTTGAAGGGCAGAAACAGAGGCACAGTGGCTCAGAAGGGTGCCCAGAGTCATGTGGTTGGTAAAGATGATACCTGAAGGTGTGCCAGGCTCTGTGATTCTAGAGCCAGCTTTCCTCACCATGTCTCTGTCCTGCTGGCTTCACAAACTGCATCTTCCGTATTTCTTCTGCTTTCCTCTGAGGTGGTTGGTCTTTGGTGGCCTCCAGGCCTGTGGAAAAGACACTGCTTTTGAGTCCAACCCACCTGGGCTTCCTCCCTTTCTGGCTTTGGACTCTCAGAAACCTGTCTGAGGCTCCAGCCCTTATAAGTCTAAGGCAGGGTCTTAAAAGAACAAATGGCAACAAATTAGCGAGATTAGAGACACAGAGCAGCAGGAAGGCCAACTACAGACCCAGGCAGGTGAAGGACCGGAAGTCAGTAGTGCAGGAAGTTAGAGGAACAAAGTGCTGACTATCAGCCCCAAGGGAGCCTTATCATCTCCAGGGCAGAGGTCAAAAAGACAGGGGAGTGGAAATGGGCTGTGTCAGAATGGTGGTCCAGATAACTGGTGAACTGAAATAACGCATACTAACAGGCTGAGTACCGATGACTTCCTGTGCCACATTCACGATGTTGAGCTCTGTGTGGGCTTTATGTATGCTAATCGTAAAGAGTATGACAAAGGCAATGCCTCTGTTAGCCTGGGCAAAATATGGAAGATGTTTTTCCTGTGAGCTTCATCAAATGTAGGAAAAAAAAAAAAGCAAAAAACAGAAAACCTCAAGTCTAGTAGTGGTGGGACCAGTCCATTAAAAATGAGAGGTCTCAGCTGCTCATAACATCACACAGAGCTCCTCACTTGTACATGTGAATGTGTGAGCCATGCTAGATGACTGCTAAGATTCTTCACTCTTTCCACAAAGAATGAGGGGCTTCGGGGTGTAGCTCAGCGGTAGAGTGCACGCCTAGCATACAAGGTTCAATCCTTGACACCAAAAGCAGAGGATAAACATTAGTTTGTCTCCTTCAAATAGATTGGAATTTGCTGTGCAAAAACATCTCAATACAGTTAGCCCAGTATAAGCAGACAACTTCATAACATCCTGGTTTTTGAACCAAGACCACCTTCAGCTTGTTTGAAAAGAGCAGAAGCACAGATTTACTAATATAGTATGCTGCAATAGGAAAATCCATTATCGTTACTGATAATTCTGTGATATTTAATTGCAGAAAAATGATATATATGTAACCGTGCATATTTAATGCTCTTCTCATCTCTACCTAGAGGCAATTCTGATCTCAAAAGCATTATTTTTGTTCCAGATTACAAGGTAAATTCACAAAACAGGAGGCCCAGCCTTCTTAAGTCCAGCTGGCAGGGCCAGGCTGGGCTTGTTAATCTTTGCGAGAGATACTAACTTTCAAAAATAGGCACTAATCCAGCTTCCTCCTTTACATTATCCTCCTATGAACTGTCAAGTTGTCTTTGAGGAGCTTCTCTTTTTTAGTGTAATCTGCTCAAAAAGCAACTTACATTTTGGCTGAAGATTATTTGATGTCAAGACCAAGTGAGTTAGTCTACAAATGTGTCTGTGAACAGTGCTTTTGAAAACTAAGGAACACTTAAATGCATACAATTAAGCTTTGATGTGCTGAGAGTAAGAGTGCAGTTTTCCAAATTCTTGAAACCTGACCAAGGAAAACATGTAAAAGAAATGACTTTTCAACCGAACCAGAATTCTTGGAGGGGAATTTCTGGAGCTTCTATGTTCTGTCAAAAAATGAAGTTTATGAAGGCAGTGTGTTTAGGACAATTAATACATCTCTTGGGACAGGAAGTTCTTGTATCTTAGAAAGGAAATAGCTTTCAGTGTTGATTTTTTAAAGCCTGGTGAATTTCACCTTCGATAAAAGACAAACCAACTTCTGCAGTGAACCACATATGCTGGCGAGTGGATTCCATCTGAAGAGTGGGCTTGTGTTAATAGAGATAACCCGCTCATACATTATGGTCTCTTCTTTTGCGTTATTTTAGTAACAAAATTAAAGAGAAATGTTGCATCATAGAAAACTGGGTCTAATACTGATTTCTGTACTACTATTTTAATGTGTCATATTTCTTTTTTGTTGTTGTTGTTTTTTGTTGTTTTTTATTTGAGACAGGGTCTCACTATGTAGTTGAGACTGAACTGGTGCTCACTGTGTAGCCCAGGCTGGTCTCGAACTCACAGGGATCCTCCTGCCTCAGCCTCCGAGTGCTGGGATTTCAGGGGTGGGATTACAGGCTAGGATTACACCACACCCGGCTAACCTGTCATATTTCTTTTTCCGTCTAGAACCAAGTCACAAAAGAAAAGATTTGAAGAAGAATTAAATGAAAGGATGATTCAAGCAATCGATGGAATCAATGCACAAAAGTGAGTAATTTTTCATCTTAAATTATCTTAGTTCAAGCCCTGTTCCTTGAAAATGTCATATTTTACAAAAACATTTCACAGCAGACTCTGCAGCGGTGATCATGACAAAGCCAACTTTTCTGAGACACTTCATTGATTTCACTTCAGTGGTCCTTTACAGGAGCTCCTGCTAATAATATTTATTTCATCATTTTTAAAAATTGCTTTGTCTCCACCTAGAAATTATTCTCCGAGTCAGTTACTAATAAACAAAATTAGAAGCAATCATGGAGAGAAAATTACAGCCGCCTGTGTTACTAATAGGGATTCTACGTGGGAAAAGCTGAGATTGCTGTACGTGATACTAACCATTGGCAATGCATTGATTTTCTTGCAAAATCAGAGGACGTGGAGATACCCACTGTTCCAAATCCTTGAAAAGGATTGGAATGTGATTTTGCTGGGACTGAAAGATGGAAAATCGACCCTTGGGGAGGCAGAACATCATTCCTCCCATGAAATCAAGAATCGCTGGTGTAGTTAGAAATGACTAAGAGTTGGAGGGAAGAAGCGGTCTAGAAGAGGCAGTGACTTCTGCTTGCTGGTCAGAGTGGTTTCCCCCAGAGGCCTTTGCAGTCACCGCAGTCCCTGCACCCCAGAGGAATTTCATGGAGAGCAGAGACAGATACCTGACGCATAGTAGACACTGGGTAGGTGCTTGGAGAAGTACCTTATGGTGAAGGTCAGCCCTCACAGAAATGTTGCCATCCTGATAAAAATTTAAATCCATTCTTGAAAAGCAGAAATGTTTCTCACTTAGAACTCGCTGACTCCGAAGTAAAGTCATGCGGCTTCAGCTAATAGAGGGTTTTGCAAATGGCATGATTTAATAGATTGTTCTATGTACCATGTCTTGAGACTATTTATAGGGCTTGTGAAACATTCACGTGAACATCTGTGGGGTGTGTGTGTGTGTGTGTGTGTGCGTGTAAATGCATCCATGCAGAAAAGCATCTTGGCCAAGCAGGAGCTGCAGCTCAGGTATCTATCAGGCTGAATTATCACCTGCCTTGATCTCCTTCCTTCCTTCCAAACAGACAAAGCCTCTATCTGTCTGAGTGTCCAGGGCACCAGCAGTGCCTGGACAAATGCACAGCTTTATCTGGCACCAGGAGCGGTGTGAACACAGCCTCACCTCTGCCATAGTTGAACCTGCAGCCCACCAAGTAACCAGGAAGCAAGCTCTTACCTGTAAGCGACCGCCAGCGGAACCTCAGAAGCCTCTTGTTCCATGTGGGCTGGTAGAGGACGTATTCATTCAAATAGCAGCTGTCACCCCCAGACCAACATACAGCAACAACAGAAAAAGGAAACTGTGTTCCTTGACAATGAATCACTGCCAATAATATTTGAAAGCCAGTCTCTAAAGGCAGCCTCAGTGTATGCTCAGGAGGGACTCCTACCTTCTTAAACCACCTCTGCATCACCTCTCAGGATGTTCCTGCTGGAGGAATTAATAGAAAGTACAATCATTAGCTTTGCTTTTGTTTTGCCAAGTTTGCTTTTGAAGTGTGTGTTTGCTTTGTGTGCTTTAGTGTTCAAACACGTGTTTAGCCAACACCTTCATAGTTCCATGCAGCTTTGTTCTAAAGAAAGATTCCGTGTTGGTGTAAAAGCTTCTCTTGTAATTCTCCCAACCCGGTTCAGAATTCAAACAGAGAAAAACCCAGTGCTATACTCAAAAAGCAAGGAGAGTTTTTAGATGGAAGCTCTTATGCATATATTTTTAATTAGTGTCTATTATATTTCATTATCCCCTACTCATTAGCTCCTCTTATTTTGACACACGGTTCCTCTCCTCTTTTAATCCCTCCCAAGGATATGACCATGGCTCTAGGCTTCTGGGGCCATCAGTTGGCTTCTGCCATTGACACAGAACACTGATTTCTATGCAGATTATCATTTGTTCATTCCCTCCCTATTTTAGTGAAAACTGGTAAAAACATGAGTCGTGTCAGCGTTTGCTGAGCATCAGACACTCAAATCCAGAAGCTTTTCCTTTCTGGGAGTGTGTCCAGGGTGGCAGGGGCAGAATCTCTCTGCAGGATGTTCTTAGAAGAACCCTACTCCTATCAAGTCCGGCCCAGCTCCCAATACCCACTGTCCGCTCTGCCTGCCTATGCCCCTCGTGGCCCAGCCCTGCACACAGCCACGCTGCAGGAATCTGGAGAGAGACCCACTCTGAGTCCACAGTCTTCTGTGTTGTGTTCTCCATGCCTAAGAACTCTCATTCTTCTATTCCAGAACAATTCCCAGGGAGGTGGTGGGTATACAACTGTCCTTCCTCTCCCATCTGGCTCTTGTGTAACATTTCCTTTATTTGGCTTCCGTCTAGCAACAAATAATTATAATAATAGTGTAAAGTAAATTAATGAGGGGTCACTTACAATACAGCCCAGGGATAAGGATGAAAGTTTTCATGCTGTAGAGAATATAGGCCAGGGATGATGAAGAAAACACATACATTTCTTCCCCTCTTCCCCTCTTCCCTGACCCCTGCTTTTGTCCTCTCTCATCTTTCTCTGTAGTTCCAGTTGCCAAAAGTAATATCTGACCTTATTCGCCCGCGCAGATCTTTCCTATTCATTTAAGCAAGCCACATAATTAAATCTCTGTAGTCTTTACCAATCAGTAGTGAGAACTCAGGTCACTTCAGAGAATTCACAAAGGCAACTAAATCAGTGGGTATTCAGAACACATGATGGTCCCGCATTCTAAGGTCCAGGTGAGAATCCCGCCCAGCACTTTTTGCTTCCCAGGAGAAGCCACAGAACAGGCCTCGCCATGTGAAAAAAGGGGTGCCTGTGCACTGGTGGTAATCCAGTCATTTCCCCAGCCCCCTGACTCATGAAGCGTTGTGTTAGGCTCTGGAGACACTGGGTAGGCAAGTCCTGGCCTGAGACCTTCCTGTCTATCTGCAAGACACAGGTAACCAAAGACTAGACTAGCAGGATGGTGGCCTGCAATAACAAAGGAGCTGGTTTTATTACCACGATGCAAAATTCACTCATTCCACTTCCAAGTTTATGTTATCCTGGAGCATTCTTAAATTAGATTTTTCTCTCTCAATAAAGAAAAGCACTATTTTAAATACGTTACCTGCAAACACTTTTCATAATTCAGTAAATACACAGGCATGAGTCCTGATAAAAATTAATTTTAATTTTGTTATGGACTATTTATTTAATATTAATCACTCTTTGATTCTTCCAGCTCACCTCATAAAAGATAATAATGCCATAGTTCTGCAGCTGGTATAATAACAAGAAATACCAAAAATTTTATTTCCCTGCTATTTAAAGCTTATAGCCTTGAATCAAACATTTTTATTGATCTCACTTTTAACGGCAGCTATTCTAGAATACATTACTCATTCCCCTGCCTCAGCTAAAATGCATCATGCATTTGCTGGGTCTCCCAGTGATCAGGCCGACTGGAAGCCTGTCTGGCAGCGAGCATGTTAGAGCTGCCTGTCGGGGTTCCCCGCAGCCCTAGAGTCCCCAGTGCGGTGCTGGTCTCCCTGGTGAACGTAATTCACACTGACACCCTCGATCTGCAATCGGGAAGCGGCGGTACCTACAGACGGCAGATCTGGTGGAAACATTTCACTTGCTCTTTTTCCATGGCTCCTCCCAGACCATAAATCCTTCGTCTCCCTAAAACATTTACATATGTTTTAGGGCATCAGACTCCACAGAAATACGGACGCGACCTGCACAGCTTCCGTGGCCGTATGCCAGGTGGCTTCTTCAGCATGGGATTACGCGCGGCACTGCGGTGCAAAGTCCTCCTTGCACTCTTTCTCTGTTTACAACTGAGTTCCCAAAACAGACTTCTACAAGTTGGCCAGTGTGGACACTGCGTGCTTCCATAGAATTTTCTTCTATTCTTCAACATCACAGAAATCCATATGTACTAATGCATAGGATGTTTATGTTTTCATCGACAAACCTTCCAAACCAGCGGCTCACTATATTAGCAATTTTAGCAAGTTTTGGAAAACTGCATTCAACCATGACTTTCACTTTCTCGAGATGAAAGGATTTCCAGCAAGTGTGGACGAAGCTTTGTCACAGTTGCCATGCTGTGTGAAGAGTTGCTTCTCTAAGCGAAGAATGAGGTGTTTCTTTAAAAACCACATCCTCCAGGAGGTGGAGTTACCATGGGACTCCATCAAGCCTCAGGGAATCAACTCACTGAATCCCTGTGCTGAGTTTCTCTGAGTGATTCTATTTGGATAACTTGAGCTTCAGTGTGATGTGACAGTTGGTCTGTAATGTAGACCTTCCCAAAAAGAGCAGTTTGTGATCACAAATGTTGTATTTGTAGATCGTGTTAACAATCTCTGGATTCCATAACCAGTAAGTTGGCCTTATGTTTTTAAAAATGTTCAGTTTGGGATGATTCACACTCAGGAAAGAAAAATCCGAGTCATGTTATAAAAAGTACTTCCAGATGTTTGCTTGGAGCTTTGGAATTTTGATGTCTGTCTTTTTTATTTCCAGGCAGTGGCTCAAGTCTGAAGACATTCAGAGAATCTCACTGCTTTTCTACAACAAAATTCTAGAAAAGGAAGTAAGCTGTTTTTTCTCTTTCCTCCAAATCTGTATTTCTTCTGAAATATAATTTTGAACTCTGTCATGAAATCGGGCTCCTGTTTTTTACCTGTAGCATTTAAACCACCTGAAAGTTTGTACACATACATTGCTTTCGTATGTTTCTTTCTAACAAGCTCGCATGTCGGCCCCTCCTCAATCTCAGCTCTTGGCCATAAACAAAGTCAGTATCATGTCCGAAATACGGGGTAAAATGAAAAGGGTAGGAGCTAATGCATGGCTTTCTCAATGTGACAGTTTCTCAGAAAAGACTTTAAATCCTTCCACAGTATCTTTATACAAATTGCTGGAATAGCTTGACAAAAATAGGAGTTTTACATTTAACACCTGTTCAGAAAAATTAGAAAATGCGAACTTTCAAGGTTTGCTACATCTACATAATTTCACATTAAGTTTCCCAGAGTAAGAGCTGTTTTAGCCAGGGATTTAGCTCAGTGGTTCCACTGCCTGCCTCACAAGCACAAGGTCCTGAGTTCAATCCCCAGTGACAATCAATCAGTCAAACTAAGAACTATTTCAGGCATAAGTAAGAAGCAGAACTTTGGTTTTTATATGTCAGTTTTAATCTAGATTTTTAAAAATGAACTAAGTAATTATTAAAGAAAGGACATCTGTTCTTCTAGGCCAACTTTACTTCCTTTACCTTTTTTTCTGTTGATCTAGAGAAGGAGCAAGATTTAGAGGTAATTTCCATTATCCAACCATTTAATTACAGGTTTGGTTTGAACAAAAACAATTATATTAATGGCAACATTCGCATCATTGCTAGTAAAATTCTACTGAGAAAATTGAGTTCATTATTTTATGGATGTTGAATAAAAATAATCAAACATCAAAAATATCTCCAAACTCCAACAGGGTCAGAGTTTACAGGTACACCCAAACTTTCCCTTGTGCTGGTGATCAAGAAGCTTGTCCACCTCCAAGTAACAGACTCGACTACAGATGCTTTACAGACTCGATGCTTGATAAGATGTGTTACTACTGACCGCCTCACTCTTGAGGAAGAACATATATGAATGGCTCCTTACTGTCTGTGACTTTATTCCTTTATGAGAGAAGTCTGTTTCCTTTATGAACACCAAAATAAAATTCCACCTCATATCTCTGCACAAAGCCCCAGAGAAGTTCAAAGATAAGGATATAATTCAATGCATAGGATGTAATCATATTTCAGCAATTATGCTTATAAAGCTTTTTCATCAGTATGTAAATTATCCTGGTTATTAAATCACAGCACTCTCGAGACAGAAAGAAACAAAAAAGGTAATCATCATTTAAAAATAGCTTTTCTTACATTCCCCATGTGTTCGTATTTACAGATGCCTCCTTTAAGGCCAATTTCAGAGTGCATTAAGGCTTAATCCAGCTCTTGTCCCACCTATCTGCAGCCTGCATTCCAGGCCCTTAGGAAGGGTAGAGACAGGAAGATGTATGGGAAGAGACATCCCTAATCCAACTGGAGGCCCATCCTTCAGCAACAGAAACCAAGAAATGCATGTTTGTCATAGTTTAGGAAACAATCTGTGCACATGCAGTTAACCCAGCTGACAGGATCTTCATGAGGTTTCAGTGGCCTTGGCATAGAATTCATCATGGTGGCCCCATGGGCTGTAAACCCCCCCCCAGGGTCCCTCAGTCATTCTTATCTGCAGTTCTGCTGTCCCCCAGCAGGACAGTGAGGACTCCTGCCACCCCGAGGGGCTGTGTGAGGATCAAATGAGTTTCCACAGAGAGCACTTGGAGTGGCTGGCACATGGTACAGGGTACAGGGTCCCTGTAGTGGAAATGAGCAGCATTACTGTTAAGTGTGGCTCCGTCTGAAGTGTTTGCTGCATAGCCACGCAGGGGTGCCCCTGGGTAGGCAGCCGGCATAAGCCTGTAGGAGAGAGTACGGAGACCTCTCTGGGCCCCTGTGATTGTGCTAGCCAAGAGGAAGGTAAGAAAGGACAGCCTAGGCCAGCCCCAGAAGAAAGCCCACCTACCTTTCCTTTCCTACATCTTCCTTTGCCACCCAAAGAAGCATTAAGATAAGTAATAAAGCATAACACTAAAATAAACGCATCTGGCTTACATTTCCTCCATCTTGTTCGACATTGAGAGGGTGTTATGCGAAAGGTCATCTGCTTTCCCCAAATACTTGCTCGTGAGGCTCACGGGATCCAAGGAACTGGCACAGTGCATCGTCCCCTGGTTCACCCACTCCACGTCCTGGTCAGACGCCGGCCTCTCGCCCTGCTGAACGATTCAGTTACCCGGCGTTCAGACCGGAAGTCGCTCTGGCTTCCTTTGGAAAGGAGGAAGCTCCGACTGCCTGAGATGCCGCCGTCTGCCCTTCCCCAGTGTGATTCCCGCCTAGGTCCCGCCGCTGGGGGGCTGGATGCTTGGGTGCAGCTCCTGCCTTCCAGAACCTTCCCTCCACTTTCCCTTTTCTCCTTTCAGTACCGAGCCACGGCCCTGCCGGCCTTCAAGTATTACGTGACTTGTGCCTGCCTCATCTTCTTCTGCATCTTCATCGTGCAGGTTCTCGTGTTGCCGAAGTAAGTGCGTGAGGTCCCCTGGGACTGTCACCCCGACACCTCCACTGCCGCGTCACCCCGGAGGAGGCGCCCCTGTGGCCTCCTTAGTTATAATAATACCGTGGACGTGTTAGTTCGCTTCACAGGGACTTGAACATTCTTATGAGTCCACATTCGCGGGCCATAATGAAGACGTTCACTGAGTGTAGTCGGTCCGTGTACATAACACGTTTCACCTCTTCTGTGCCCTCTGCTCCCCTCTCCCGACGCTCCATCCCCTTCCCATTCTCACAAAACCTCCCTCCTATTTCCGGTTGTCTACCTTTTATTTTGCTCTTTCTTTGTAATTTGGGCTTCTCGCGTAAGAGAAACCATGCCATATATAAGCTTTTGTGTCAGATTTATGTCACTCTTCATCATGGGTTCAGGGTGCATCCATTTTCCTACAAATGGTACCAGTCTGTCCTTCTGTATTTCCACTGTGGCCCAATGCCACATTTTCTGTATCCATGCAGGATAAATTTGACCCTGTTACGTTGATCTTGGTTTCACTTTGATATGCACTCTTAAGAAATGTGGCCCAGTAAACTTTACCCATGAAGAACACAACGGCCAGCTATTATTTTAATAAGCGGATAGCACGGGCATATCCGGAGAGGGCAGGATCTGCATGCTTTGCCAAATTACCCATTTATTTTCACCTTCTGTGAGCTACGCTTCCCTCCCTTTGGGAGTGGTTGTTGTTGTTATTGTTGTTTGTTCTGGTTTTTGGTTTGGACTGGAGATCTGAACCCAGAGTCTTTGCACCTGCCATTTTTTTTTTTTTATTTTGTGGCAGGATTTTGCTAAGTTACCCAGGCTAGACTGGAACTTGAAGTCCTCCTGCCTCAGACTTCCAGAGTGCTAGGATTACAGACATGTAGCATCACACCCAGCTTCCTCCCTCTATTTTAAATCCACCCTCTGTGGACATCTTTGACTTAGGTCCAGTTTCCTGCTCCTAGAAAACATGAATCCAGAGGGGAGAGCCTGAGCAAGGCACATTTCATCACGTTTTAGAGTGGCTTCCTTCTGATTCCACCTCCTGCTGAAAATCCAGTTACTGTGGTTTCTAAATGATCTCTTCTCTTGCACTTTTTTAATGAGAGTAATACTAGCCAAGTGCCAATTCTCATTTTGCAATCTAAAGGGGGGAAAAAAAAGCTCTTGTCTTTCTTACAGCAATCAAAGATAGGAAGATTTCTGAAGCAGATCTTCTTTCCCCTCACCAGCACCTATTTTGGACATGTCAAAGCAGTCGTTTTCAGTGCTAAGCTTAACTTCTGTGGTACAGCTAGCACTTGGGGCACATGAACTACTTAAGTTAGGGCTTGTTGTGTCTCAACGAGCACTCTGTCTTCAGTCTCTGCTCCAAAGGATTTTATTTAGGCCAACACAATGGCATGTGCAGAGGTAGTGACAAAGCAGAGATTTCCCTTTGCTGTGGAACATGTACAGTTCCTTAGCTATCTGATCTATTTTTTGGAGAAGTTCCCAATAGATTTTCTCCTTCCCTCATCTATAAGCTTTGAAATACATGGGCTAGAGGAGACCTCCTAGACTTAACAAAATCTTTACTGAAGTTTCATAATGTCAACTAATTACGTTTCTCTTCAAGAAAATGTCAAGACATTAAGCCCCTTCTCCGTGCCAGGCCTGCACCACATGGTGCAGGAGAGATGTGGGTTTCCATATACACAGGCTTGAAGAGCAGAGGGTGTCAATGGGGTATTGGAGGGAGAAATATCCCCAGAGGAGTGGATCCTTACTACTCTAAACTACAGAAATGCATTCCTTTTCCCCACTGCCCCATGGGACAAGAGTTCTACATTCCCTACCTCACAGGCAGCAGAGGGCCTGTCACTTCCTGGGAGGAGCTAGGAGATGGAAAGTCACAAGAGCAGTTTAGAATATGACAGAGAGCAAAGAACTTCAGGAACCAAGAAAAGCATTTCATGCAGTTTTGCTTTTAAGAAACACATCATGTTCTGTCTTTGCTGTCTCAGCACTGATTTTCTTGTCTCTCTTTGGCCATGATGCTTTTTTATGAGGCCTGTGGAAGCCCATTCTCTCATGCTTTGTCACCCATTACTCTGCTCTGGTTTTTGAGCAGCAAAGCAGCCTTTGAGCTTTGGGAAATCCACATCATGTGAATTTCCCACTGGTGTTAAGGCCTGGGAAGCACGGAGGAAGGGCTGAGGCCTCTTCCCTCCGAGGTTCAATATTGGGTGTCCCTCTCAGAGCTCGTGTTATGTTGTCTTTCTTCCTTCATCTTTCTTGCATGTTAGTCTTTTTTCTTTCTTTTTCTTTTTGGACAATTTTTGCCATGAATTATTTCAAAGGTACAAAAAGTGCAGAGAGTTAATACAATAAGCATGCGTCTGTCTGTCAGCCACACTCAGTAAAAATGCTAACCTGTGTCTGACCACTGTAGACAGACTTCTGCTCTTAAGGCTCTTCTGTTCGGGTGTGCTTCCTTTCAACAGCACCTATTTTCATTTTGTTTTATTTATATAATCAGGTAGTATCTTTCTTATATTCATGTAACTTTATTGCACTTGTTTGTTTTTTAACTGTGAGGGTGGACATACTTCTGTCATGTTAAATTTCCTTTTCTTTAGTCCTTTCTCTGTTTCTTCCTAACTTCTAAAGAAGCAGTTATTTTATTTTGAGTTTCCTTTACTGATCAGGAAATGTGTGGGTAAACAGACACACATACACACACCTTTATCTGCTTAATTTCACATTTGCTTTCAAATGTAGTTTTATTAGGTATAAAATCACAGATTAACTTGTGTTGTTCTTTCCTTGGCATTTTGATGATGGTATCCCTTGCATTCTGTTTCCTTTGGGGGGAGCACGGTGTCCTCTTTCACTCTCGTTATGTCTTTCATAGAAACATATCTTCCCCTCTGAGTGCCTGTGCAGTAGGGGTAATGTATGATCTCTAGATATGGATTTGTTTGTATGTACCGAAGTGACTGGTGTGATTTTTCACTCTGCAGTTTCCTATCTTCCTTCAGCTCTTAAACACTCTCTGCCTTCACCCCTCACATATTGCTTCTCCTTTGCTTTCTGCATTCTTTTCTCCTAGAGCTCTTACTGATAGATTATCTTTTTAATTCTCTGCTCCAGGCCTTGCTTTTTTTCCCTATAAGTTTCCACTCATCTATTTGCCCCACATTCAGGTAAATTCCTCATCCATTTTAAGTTTATAATTTTAATGGGTCTGTGTTTTCTTTTCTAGGTATATTTAATTCTTTTTTTGTTTTTAGTTTGGGGCTTTTTTCATTCAGCATTTTATCATGAAAAACCTTTCGTGCATAGCTCTTTTTTACATAAAATGCATAAATTATCCTTAAACAGTTACCATTTCTTTATGTTTGGTGCTTACAAACTTCTCCTAATTCTGTATAAAATATTCTTAAAAATTTATTATTTTTTGTGTTTCTTTTTTTTCCGTTCCCCTACCCTCCCGTCAACCCCTCCACCCCTCCCTATTTACAAACGCTCTGTTTCCTTTTTTTTCTTCTCTTATATTAATTCCATTTCCTTCTTTCCTTTCCCCTACCTCTCCCACTTTCCTTTCCCCTTTACAACTTTTCTTCCTATTTCACATGATCTATTATACATTTTGGCCCTAATTTTATACTTTCAGTTTCTCATACCTGAGAAATTATTCAATATGTACACGTGTCCTTTTTTGTTTTAATACCAACAACCTTATTTTTATTGGTGCATTTTGGATATACATAATGATAACATTCATCATAGAGAATTTGATCCTGCACATGATAGATCTTGTTTCTTCTTTTTTCCCATCTCCCCCTTCAAACTCTCTTCTCCTTATTTACAAAAGCTTTGTTTTCACTTTTCCTTCTATTCTTTCTTTTTCCTTGTGCCTTCTTTCCTTTCCCCTTCCCCTCCCTTGTTCCCTTCCCATTTGAACGTTATCATCCCATTTCCCAATGTCTATTGTATATTTTGGTCCTTATTTTCACTTTCAGTTTTTCACACTGGAGAAACAATGTGGTATTTAAACATATGTGTTTGCTGTTGATGGGCATATGGGCTGTTTCCAAGATTGACCTGTTACAAACTGTGTCACTATAAATGTGGGTGTGTATATACCGCTGTGGTGTGATGCTTTTAGTTCTTTCAAGAAGATATTAAGAAGAGGAATGTCTGGGTCAAATGGAACCTCTAGCTTTAGCTTTTGAGGAATCTCCATACTGATTTCTACAATGGTTGCACCAGTCTGCACTCCCACCCACAGTGGAGAAGGGTTCCCTTTTCCCCCGCACCCCACCAGCATTTGTTATTGGTTGATTTCTTGACAACAGCCATTCTTTCTGGAGACAGAATATCAGCATTGTTTTCATTTGTATCTCTCTGAAAGACCAGTGATGTTGAACATGTTTTCATGTATTTATTTGTTGTTTCTGTTTCTTCCTCTGAGAAGTGTCTATTCATTTCAGATGCCCATTTTTTGATTGGGTCTTTAAATTTGAGGATTTGATTCCTTTGAGTTTTTTGTATATTCTAGATATTAGTCTTTTGTCTGAGGAACAGCTGGCAAAAATTTTTCCCCACACTGTAGGTTGTCTCTTCACTCTGTTTCTGTTGCTGAGCAGAAGGTTTATAATAAGATGAGATCCCAGTTGTTGATGCTTTGTGATAGTTTGTGTGATCAGGGTTTTGTTCAAGTCTTTGCCTACACCACTGTCTTCAAGAGTTGTACTTATTCTGTCTTTCCAGCAGATTTAGTGTCTCTGTTTTGATTCTTTTCTAAACCTGACTTTTTAATATATAATTCTGCTTTGCCTGTAGATTTCACATTTTACTTTCTGTTTTCAGTTTTAAATAAATTAGATGAAAATACCACTCCAGTTCTTGTAGTTCATAAATAGGTGAATGATGCCCTTTGATCTGTTGATGCTCTCACGGTGCTGAGAGTCTCCTTGTGTCCCCTATAATTGTCA